TGTAAAAAAAAATAGGTTAGGTTTAGGTTAGATTAGGTTAGGTTTTGATAATACAATGTAAATTCCACGCGGTGAAGCAACAGAATAGAAGGAGAGCTACCTCCTCTGAATCCAGAAACAGATTTAACTGCAATCCTTCCAGGCTTAGTTTCGTATTAATCTCGCATACAGAGTTCTCATTTTGCGTGAGGAAATCCTCTAGCTTCTTCACCATCGCGTCCTCGTTGCTGATCTTCTTCAACCGGTCCGCCATTGCAGACTGCGTCTCGTTGAAATACGTGTCTTTGAACAAAATGATCTTGGAAATGTTGTCCTTCCACACCAATATGCTAGACTTTAGATCTTTCTGACTCAGATTCACATATATGAAGTCCATGGAACCTTGCACGTTGAACAAGCCACAAGTCTGGAACTCCATTGCACTGCGATACTCGGTTTTCCTCTTGATATCGAAATGAACGTGTACCGGCTCGACAATCGGTTCCTGCAAGCGAAATTAATCGAATGAAATTAGTATTACAATTATCATGTGACTTTGACATCAAGCCTTACTTGGATCTCCAAGTCGCGACTAAGCGTCATAATTGCTCTGGACACGGTCATATTGTTTAACTTTATTAAAATATTGTCAATCGTTATCTGGCTCGAGTCACCGCCGGACGTTTTAACACTCTGTGTCGACTGATCTACCTTCTTGAAGAAATTCTCCACCGACAGTACGCCTGTATTCAATACCAACAGACTCGGGATTTCTTTACGCTGCGGCAGCAAAAATACTGGGCCTTGAATGTCGATGAACATGTGCAACTTCGTCGCGCTTCTTTTGAACGCCTCGAAGCCACCCGCGAGCCTCTCGCTCAAGTACTTCTTCAATCGCAGGAAGTACGTAGATGTGAAGGGCGCTAGAAAATACTGTGAGAATAAACAAGTTTTATCACCAACATGTGATGTACACGGTGTTGTATTGAAATAATAATAATAATAATAATAATAATAATAATAATAATAATAATAATAATAAATGATACTATTATTATTTCCAGTATGCCTATTATTTTTTTCTTTTTTATTTTGTGTACCCCCTGGTTGCTTCCTTTAGCCAGTTTCCTTTTCTCCATTATAAAAATTTATAATACCGTATTACAATAATATTAATATTAATAATAATAATAATAATAATAATAATAATAATAATA